TATATATATAAATAATAGATGCCTTAAAGGGAAAAGAGTAATTGCAGAATCCTTGACTGTGGCGACCTCTGCAGGGCAGCACTGGAACAGGAAGCTGAGCTCAGCAGAGGAGCCCTTGTTCCCTAGCGAGGCAGTCAGGTCACAGGCCGCCCATGTATTATTTCATCCTACTGACCTTAAATTCTCCTGTATTACTGTTGTCCATCCAGAGCCTTGTGCCCACCAGGCAGACGCTCTGCCACTAAGCTACATGTGCCCTGAGTCTTTCAGGAGTAAGTGCACCTGCAGTGGCACGGAGCTGGCCAAGCACAGCATCCTGAGGGTGCTTACAGACGGGTGGGCGGGAGGCTGAGGCCAGCATGGGTACCTGACTAGGTGCCACACTGGCTGTTTTGAAGAGTGGAGCCTTCTGGTCAGAGGCGGGAGGGAGCAGAAACAAAGGAGGCCACAGGGCCAGTGTGGGGAGTCCCACGAGGCTGCCTAGGCAGAAGCCTGAGGATAGCAGCATCCAGGGGGCCACAGCAAGGATGTAGCTGGAGCCACCTAGGTGCCCGTGGGAGGGGCCTCAAGGAGGGCCCTGTGCAGACCTAGAGGGAGGAGACACGCAGCAACACTACAGTCGGGGCTAGCAGTTGGCCCACCACTTGGTTCTGGACACATGTGATGGCAGAGGAGTGAGTGACAGCCAAAGCCCTGCTGTTGGGAGGAGGGGGGGCCACTCAGTGACTGCCTCTGCCAGGGGTGAACAGGCCAGAGTCCTGGGGTGCTACAGATCTTGGGCGCAGAGCTAAAAGTTGAGTGACAGGTCAGTGGGGCGTCCCCCAGGATGATGGCCAACTTGGGCTCACAGGGGTGGTCAGAGCCCTCATGAAGTGACACCATGCTTGGAGCTGCTGCCCCTTAGGGGACCTGGTGCATGCAATTTGAGGATTGTGGTGGCAAGGGGGGCAGTGAGCATGGTGGCTCTGCCTGTCAGAGACACAGCTACATCAGGACTACATCCATGGGGCAAACAGCCCCTCCCCATCTCATCCTGGAGGGCTCACTCTCCCCATTGTCCTTGACCTGCCACATGTCACCCTGCCAGATTCCAATCACAGACACCTGACATTGCCCCAGAGCAGCACGTGATCCACAGGCAGACGGACGCTGTCCTTGCAGAGGCCTCCACAAGGAACCAGTCACCCACGAAGCAGGACACCAGGCTATGGAGGCAGCTACACAGTCATGTCCCTGGTGATTTGTGTCACTTAGCTCTCAGTTCCAACAGCTGGCCACTAGCAGTGGGATGTAGCTCTGTGAACCCCACAAAGAACAGCTCACATTTTCTGGACAGGAGTCTTTTCTGTTCCCTGGAATTCCCAGGAGGCTTCAGAATAAGCTGAGCTCTTGCCCATCCAAGTCCAGAGGCCTGAGTGGACCTGGGCAGGACTGGGCCTTGCCTGGGGGCTGCTGGCCTGCCAGCCTCCAGAGCTGCCTGTGGAGCCAGCAAGTGTGTCGGCAGTGAACACCTTGGTGACAAGGGACATTGAGAGGGCCACACTGTCTGGGAGGAGAACTGCACAGTCAAGGAAAGCTGGTGCCAATGCATGGTCTCTGCAGACACAGCCAGCAGGGGCGGGGGTCAGTGTGCTCCCAGCAGTGGATTCACGCTGGCCTGGGTCTGGTCAAGCCTATCACCGTGTTTTCTTTTTTTTTCAGTTATCGTGAACCCTCAGACCATCCTCCGGATTAACACCATTGAGATTGCTCCATGTTTGCAGTGATCACCGAGCTGACATCTAAGTATAATATAGCTGGGCATGACGGCACACCCCTGGGACCCCAGCACTCTGGGAGACCGAGGCAGGAGGATCAAAAGTCTGAACCCAGCCGGGTGTGGCGGCGCATGCCTGTAATCCCAGCACTTGGGAGGCTGAGGCAGGAGGATCATTGTGAGTTTGAGACCAACCTGGGCTACAAAGTGAACTCAAGGCCAGCCTGAACTACATAGCATAACCCTATCTCAAACAAACAAAAAAAAAGTCTGAGCCCAGCCTGGGCAACGTATTGACTTAGCAAGACCCTGCCTCAGAATAAAAAAGTCTGGGGCTGTCGCTTAGTGTGAAGAGTTTGGGTTCACTCATTCCTCAGTATGGGGGCAGGGTTGTAAAAATAAACTTTTCCAAGATTGTTGATCTGTATGCAACAGAAAAAGTTGTATGAGCAGCCACTTCACGAGCTGGAGGAAGGAACCTAGAAAGAATGGCCGGCATGGCCCCCGGCCTGAGTGGATGCTTGTGTAAGAAGCAAAATACTGTTCTTGGCAGCCTCTGTCCTGGGGCAGCTGGAGACACAGCTTGGGCGGAGTGGGGTGTCGAGAGAAGCACAGCCTGGGGCTGGCCTGATAGCTCAGCAGGCTAACGTGCCTGCTTAGGCAGAGCACAGTGGCCAGGGGTCGATACCTGGCATGCTGTGCCAGTCCCGCCCCCAGAGCGCACTGAGATGGGTTGAGACTGGGTGTGGTGGCACGTGCCTGTAATCCCAGTACTTGGGAGGCTGAAGATGGGAGAATCACTACAAGTCCCATCTGTAGTGAGACCCTGTAGACCCTGTACTAAATACAAAAAAAGGCACAACCTGGATTTCATTCAGGATGAGGATAAAATCAGAAGCAAGTTCCACCTCTGAGTTATCCAGACCCACTTGTCCCTGGCTGCGGTTCCAACCAGGCAGACGAGAGTCCCTGCCTATGTCCAGCAGGGAAGGTCGCTGTGCAAGCCGCTGTGACTCAGGCAGAGCAGCATGGCAGGCAGCCGTGTGGGCAGGGGAGGCTGGGGCCCACAGCAAGAAGATGGCTCTGGGGAGGGTGCACCCCCCCCCGGGGTGGGGCTGAATGTGGCACCCCACAGCAGAGGGTTCCCACAAGTTTTGAACTTGGTCCAGGCAGTGGCATACAGTTGTGTGGGTCAGGCAGGTTGCAAGGGGACCCCACTGGAATGCTAATGCAGGGAAGGGACAAGGTTAGGAGCCTAGAATGGCCAAAGGAACCAGCCTGGAGGAGAGGGGGCTGGGTGGAGGGGCTCCCCTGAGCCCAGCACCTAGGCTGGGGCGTTGGAGACAGCCTCCAGCCGAGAAGAGCCAGAGCTTCCAGGTTAGGGTGGAAGCCGAAGTCAAGCTGGGGTGATACTGCCTCATGTTACTAAGGAGCTCTTGAGCCACCCTGAGTTCAGGAGGACCTTCCAGGAGACCTCAGGATTACACGCTGCTGGGTACTGGCCCAGATCCCCTGCTGTGCCCTCCATGTGCAGCAGGGGGCAGTGTTGTCCAGGGCCCTAGTGGCCTAAAGGGAGGAGCCTTTGGTTGTGGGGACCTTGGAGCAGGAAGGCTGTGGACAAAGCCTGGAGTATGGGGTGCACGTTGCACGTTCTGACAGATGTTTGCTCTGTACCATACCATCTGCAAACTGAGCTCCAGAGCCTTTGAACCAGCCTGTTCCCTCCCTGGCCTTCTCCTGGGTTCTCTCTCAGGTGCACACTGAATTCTTTAGGTTGTGTTCAGCCACAAAAGAATGCTAACAGAGGCTGGGGAGATGGCTCAGTGGAATAAGCACTTCCCTGGCAAAAGCAAGGCCATGAGTTCAATCCCCAGTTCCACCAAAAAAAAAAAAAAGTGCTAACAGCTCCCACCCAAGTCAGGCAGGTCACCACCTGCTTGCTCCCTGGGCTTCCCAGCCCCTGCCACCCCAAAATCTTAGGTCAGGCATGGTAGTAGAGCAGTAAAGGACCTGGGAAATGACACAACCCAGCCGCTGAGCACCAGGCTTTAGATCAGAGCTGTCTACCTCTTGGCATTCACCAGTGTCTCCCCATGTGCTTCCACACCTGCCCAAGAGAAGTGCTGGAACCTTCCACAGAGAACGCCATGCTGATGACATGAGCCAGCCCCAGCCCCAACACCACCCCACCTTGTGCCAAAATGGTCTCCAGGCAGTGCTGCTGGCTTTAGCCATGGCCACCTTCCCCATGGGTCCCTTCTGGGGAAGGAATGTGACTGCCAGCCTGTCCCTTGTGATCTGATACAAGCATCTGGGGCAAGCCACACAAAGACAAAGCCTAGGCAGTAATTTTTTTTTTTTTAACAGTCCCATTAAGTTGCTAGTTGCCCAGGTTGAGCTTGAACTTGAACTTGGCGACCTTTCTGCTTCAGCCTCCCAGAGTGCTGAGGTTACAGGCCTGAGCCACAATGCCTGACTGATTTTCAAACATAGTTACCTTAGTTATCCTTCGTTGGTCTTAATAAGTAGGTGATAGTCTTGATGGGGCAAGAAAGAGGCATTCACTTAGTACTGATTTGTGTCACATAGGTCTGAAAGCACCCAATGTGTAATTTGCACTGTAAGGCAGCAGGGCTTGGTGGTCAGCAAACGGACTGCCTGGGCGCCCCAACCTTGATACTCCCCAGTGGCATATGGCTGCAAGGGACCCAGTGGTTGGGACAGCAGCTTCTTACGGCATTTTGTCCTGGCATCTGCACACCCTGGCCTCTGGCTCCTGAGCCACCAACCTGCAACAGCCCACAGCTAAGAAAGCACACTTGGAAGGCTGGGTGCCCTTCAGCCCAGCCCCTGGGCACATGCCTTGTCCTATGACAGCCCAGCAGGGCCAAGGCCCAGGTCCCAGCACAGAAATGGGGGTTGATGCAGAAGCCGAGGTTGCCTAATGTTCCAACGAGACACCTCCAGCTTCTGTTTCCTTTTGCCTCTTTCCAATGGCTACCAGGGGGGATGGGGGCCCTTGACCCAGGCCAAAGTGCTGAGAATCCAAGGGTAATGTATGGAGCAAAGGTGTGAGGGGCTGCCCTGCTCCAGAAGGTCATAAACCTCGGGGCTGGCAACGCCATATCAGACTGCCTCTGGAAATGATCTCTGAGGGACAAAGGTCACTTCCTCAGGCATGTTTTAAAGTAAAATGACATTGCTTGAGCCCTGCTATGCACAGCAAGGACCCAGGGGGGGCCCGAGCAGCTCCTCCAGTGAATCATGGAAGCAGGGGGGAACCTGGGCCCAGGGGTTTGGAGCCTGGGCAGGGAGAGTTGTGCACAGCGGGGTTCTCTCCATCGCTCTGGGCTCCCAGTAACACTTGCCAAGAGTGTCCTGGGCAGCACAGCAAACACCCCTGAACTCCTCTGAACCTCCTCCTGCCAATCTGGCCGTGGGCACTGCTATCTGTTATGTTCTAGATATGGAGAGATTGGGCCATGGAGAGATCCCAGCCCAGCTCAGTGGCACCGTGGCTGCACTTTGGAACCCTCCAGCATTCCTGTCAAGGGGCAGGCATGCCATCTACCACAGCAAACAAACCCAACTCCCCAGCCTACACAAAACCTGGTGCAAGTTAGGGAACTGTTTGTCCCTGGTTCCTGGCACAGAACTCCTGAAACCCACGGGATTTCCTGGGAAGTGTGTCTTGTTATTCATAATGAGCCTCCTCAGATCACAGCTGGGTTTATGCTGAGGAGGTCACCTGGCATGGGGCCCCTAGACAGCCTGAGGAAGGGGTTCTGTCACCAAAAGACCAGCTGATGAGAGGACTGGGACTTTCAGTGGCACCCACCAACCTCAGGGGAAGGCAGGGCTGGAGGTGGAGCTCTAGGGAGTGCTAGAGACATTCCGGAGCAGCCAGGTGTGAAGAGCCCCAGGAGGTGGAGGCTGCGGAGGACCTAGAGCTAGCTGCCCACGATGTTCTGGGCACAGCTCACGAGGCTGTTCCTCAGTTGTCTGCTTTTTGTAATAAACCAGGAAGCATAAGTGAAGTCCTGCCCTGAGTTTTGTGAGCTCTTCAAGAAAATGATGTAACATCAGGAGGGCCTCAGCCCCCCAATGTATAACCATGGGTCAGAAACACTGAGCACGGGCCAGGGAGATGGCTCAGTGGAATAAGCGCTTCCCTGGCAAGCGCAAGGGCCTGAGTTCAATCCCCGGTTCCGCAAAAAAAAAAAGAAAGAAAGAAAGAAACACTGAGCACTAGACCAGCAACTGGGACCTGCGATGGGGGTGGTTCTGCGGGCCTGCGCGAGACCCGGGTCTGGTGTGGGAGCTAAGCTAAACTACAGAGTACCTGCTGAGGTTGAGAAACTGCTAAGCATAAAACCCCAGACACCTCATGTCTGCATGTATAAAGGAACACAATTATTCTTGGCCTTGAGATTTGCTTGAATGGCCTGGCTCACAGGCATGTGAGGTTTGGGAAGAAAAAAGATCAAAGAATAGGAAATGAAGAACTTTGACTCATGGATGGCCAAGTAGTCACCCTGGGTGCACAGCAACTGCACCGAGGCCACTGCTGAAGACGAATGTTGCCAGTGGGAGTTAAAAGAGAGCAGGCTCCCGGGCAGAGGAGGCAGGTCCTTGCCTGCACAAGAAGTACAAAATGGTAGGCAGGTGTGGTGGCACATAACTATAGTCCCAGCTACTAGGGAGAAGGAAGCAGGAAGATAGTAAGTTTGAGACCAGCCTGGGAAACTTAGGCCCAGCCTCAAAAAAATAAAAAGGAGCCAGATGTGGTGATGCACACCTGTAATTCTAGCACTTGGTATGAGGCAGGAGGATTACTGCAACTTTGAGACCAGCCTGGTCTATACATAGTGAGCTCCAGGCCAGCCTGAACTGCATAGCAAAACCCTGTCTCAAAAAGACAAATATTAAAAAAAAAAAAACAATAAAAGGGACAGGGCTATAGCTCAGCAGTAGAGCACTTGCCTCTCATGTGTGACCCTGGGTTCCAAATCCAGTACAGGAAGGAGAAGGGAAGGAAAGAGAAGATGGGGAGGAGAGGGAAGTAGAAAAGAGAGGGGGAAAGGAAGAAAAGAAAAGAAAAGCATCTAATTCCTTGGTTACTATTACCTGGAATAACTGAG